TGGCTGGAGCATCTCCCAATGGGATGATGGAATTTGATCAGCCCTGCCCTGGGACTGCATGGCCATGAACAGGAGAGATCTCCTGGAGGGAGGATGGGCTGTGGGAAAGATAAAGAACAGTGCAACAGCTGGGTGAACAGCTGGGATAGAACACACACTGCTGGGCACAGCCTGTACTGCAGCCTGAGACACTGAGGCAGTACAGAGTGCTCAGGCCACAGTGAAATAAATCAATAACCTATAAAACATTTTGTGCAGCAGTGTGGGCTGATTTGCATTAAATATCACTCCAGCATTGTAAATATTCCCAATATTCTACAGTCTACAGCAGTGCATAACCTCAGCCTTCTGCTGAAACAAATGTGAATTTTCCAGAGCTTCCAAATGAGAAGTTTTCTCTCCATGCTATCCCTTACTCATGCAGGATTCTGCTTAAAACTCGGTGGGAATGGGGCAGTGTTGGAAATGAGTCTTGTTGGGTTATCTGGCGGTTTGGGTGATGCTGGGGAGGGGATCAGGGAACGTGGAGGTGTTTGGGGCTGTTCAGTCTGGTGAAGGGACTCAGAGACTGCCTGAGATTGGAAAAGATCTCCCAACCCATCGAGTCACCCTGTGCCCCATCCCCACCTTGTCCCCAGCCCAGAGCTCTGAGTGCCACCTCCAGCAATTCCTTGGGCACCTCCAGGGATGGGCACTCCAAACCTCCCTGGGCATTTCCAATCCCTGACCTCCCTTTCCATGGGGAAATTCCTGCTGCTGTCCCCCCTGAGCCTGCCCTGGCCCAGCCTGAGGCCGTTCCCTCTCCTCCTGTCCCTGTTCCCTGGAGCACAGCCCGACCCCCCCGCCCGGCCCCTCCTGCCAGGGACTTGTGCAGAGCCACAAGGTCCCCCTGAGCCTCCTTTTCTCCAGGCTGAGCCCCTTCCCAGCTCCCTCAGCCCCTCCTTGCTCAGCTTCGTTGCTCTTCTTTGGACTCAGAGGCTCCAGGATGAGCTCAGAGCCCCTTCCAGGGCCTGAAGGGGCTCCAAGAGAGCTGGAGAGGGACTGGGGACAAGGGATGGAGGGACAGGACACAGGGAATGGTTCCCACTGCCAGAGGGCAGGGCTGGATGGGATATTGGGCAGGAATTGTTCCCTGGCAGGGTGGGCAGGCCCTGGCACAGGGTGCCCAGAGCAGCTGTGGCTGCCCCTGGATCCCTGGCAGTGCCCAAGGCCAGGTTGGACACTGGGGCTGGGAGCAGCCTGGGACAGTGGGAGGTGTCCCTGCCATGGCAGGGGGTTGGAATAAATTGGTCTTTAAGGTCCCTTCCAACCCAAACCATTCTGTGATTCTCTCTGGTGCATTTTAATATGTAATATTATTTTGATCATTTGAAAGTTATCCAGGCTCTAAAACCACCCTTTTCCTTTATCTGAAAGATGTAAAAAATGCGCTTTTTTTCACAAAATCAGCTCCTGGGCTTTATGCTCCAGCACCTCCTTAGCTCCATCCCAGTGCCATGCCACTGCTGTCCATGCTTGGGGACACAGGCAGCAGAGGAGACTCACTGTGCAGTGCTAGGGATCAGGATAATAGCAAATTATCAGTTAAAACAAATATGCAGGAGGGATGCAAAAGGCTTTATCTTGCATGACAAGCTGGTGTTTGCTCTGCAGCAGACCTGGCTTGTAGCAGGCACAGTTTGCTGTGCTTTGTTTGCGAGGAAGCATCAAAAACTTTGTGATTTGGGTGGAGTCGGACCGAAAATCTGCCCAAGGTGCCTTGCAGGGCTCCCAGTCACAGCCTGGGTACAGCCACCATCCTGCCAGCCCCAGACAGGGCCCCTGGCCTGGGAACAAGGGACAACCTGCCAGGACCAGCCCTTCCTTCCTAAAAAGCCACAGACATCGCAGGTGGAGCTGGGAGGGCTGGGGCTCCCTGGAGCTGCTCCCAGCAGGCACAGGCTGGGCTGGGCAATCATTCCCGGTCACTCCTGCCCCTACAGGTGTGCTGGAGAAGCCTCTGGACAAAAAGGCTGGCAGGAACTACGGCCCCCCAGGCAGCAAGAGGCTGGTGTTCTTCATCGATGACCTGAACATGCCGCGGGTGGACGCGTACGGCACCGTGCAGCCCCACACCCTGCTCAGGCAGCACCTGGACTATGGCCACTGGTACGGGGCTGCTGGGCTGGGCTGCCACCTCTTAGTCCACTCTGGTGTTGGGAGCGGGGTTTGGGATGAGCAGAGCTCTTCCCATCCCGTGTTGGAGCTGGCTGGGAGGCTCTGGGTGAGGAGAGCTCCGTGCACCCTGGGGTGTCCCATGTCCCCACGGACATTCCCTGCACTGCTGAGCAGGGAGGGAGGCCATGGACTGCCCCTGCTGTGAGATCCTGGTGCTGTTTGCAGTCAGGCAGCAGCAAACAGTTGTTTTCCAGGCAGAGGTAATCTGTAGGAAAACCAGGAGCAGTGTTTTGGAAGGAGATTGAGTGTTTTACACTGCAGCCAGTGGGACAGGAATACTCACAGTTCTCCCACGGGAAAAACAAGGCAGAGACACGGAGACATTCCCAGTCTCCTCAGCTGTGTGTGCGCCCAGACTTGAACAAAATCTTCCCAACCATGGGGACAGTGGGGTGGAAGCAGAAATTCAGGGCTGTGGGTGTTGGGGAGGTTGGGCAAAGAGGGGCATGTGTGGGAGCAATGCCACGTGGGGGACACACGGTGTGCCACCTGTCCCCTCCCAGGCAGGTCCTGGCTCCCTGCCCTGCTCTCAGCAGGTGTTGTGCCCTCAGTGCCCGGGGTGCTGAGGAGGGGCAGGGGCACAGCTCTGGTGACCCAGGGGCTCTGCTGCACCCCAGCCCTGCCAGCAGCCCCCATCCTTTCCTGCAGCCTGCCTGCCCCACCCCAGGCTGGCTGGACCAGAGTCACTGCTGTGATTCCCCACAATTTCCCTGCCAGTGCTGGCTCTGATGGAAATGTCAGCTCCAGCATTTCCCCCAGGAGCAGGGCCCTGTGTGCTGGGCCATGTGCAGCCATGCAGCATCTCAGGCCCCTGGAGAGGGGCAGAATGTGACCCCCTGAAGCCTCAAGGGTCCTGGCAGCCCTTAGACACACTCCAGGGACAGCAGAGGTGGCTCCCCTGGCTGTGCTCAGTGGCTGTGGCTTTTGCTGTGCCCCAAGGTACGACAGGAGCAGGCTGTCCCTGAAGGAGATCAGCAATGTGCAGTTTGTGTCCTGCATGAACCCGACTGCTGGGAGCTTCACCATCAACCCTCGGCTCCAGGTAAAGCCCTGCTCCATGGCCTGGGTTTTTGGGTGGATTTTTCAGGCTCAGGGCTCAGGACAACCTGGAGCAGATGCTGCTGTTGTTCAATCAGTGGAAACAGCATGGGTCTGTGAAGTGACTGTAATTCCTGATGGAGGCAGCAGACTTGCTGCCGTTCTCTCTTCTTTGTGTTTCCTCTTGTTTTGCTGCTCAGTGGGAGGAAAAAATCACAAGTTCCCAGATAGCTGGACATCCACTCTCAGGAAAACTACTGGTTCAGACAGGCAGATTTTGTCTTCCTCTAGCTGGTATTCACTGCTGGATCACCGTTCTTGAAAATCTTTTGGTGGCCAGGCAATGGAACTCTGATGAGAAACAGTCACCAAGTCTGGATGTGTTCAAAATTGAGTGGATGTGGCACTCCACAGAGTATGGTTTGGGATCTGTTCAAAGGTTGGACTTGATGCTCTCAGAGATCTTTTCTAACCTCAGCCATTCTATGTTCTCTTCCTCTGCAAGTTCCCAATCACCAAAGGGTCTTCTGGGAGGTGGCACCTCCCAGGGGCTGCTCCTACCAGAGACAGGCCTGGGCTTCAGCAGGGTCTGTGGGACCTTCAGACCTTTCAGCTCTTCAATGGACTGAGCTTTCCCCGTGAAATGCCACTGAAAATCCCTTGTTCAGCCAGCAGAAGGTGTCACCTGCCAGCTGTCCTCTGCTGGGAAATTGGAAGGGGGACATTGTTCTGGTGGACTTCAAGTCATGGGATCATAGAGCATCCCAGGTTGGAAGGGACCTCGAAGGATCATCTGGGCCAACCTATCAGGATAGGGAATTGGGAATAGGTATTGGGAAGTGGAGCCCAGCTGAGATTGTTCAGTGCTGTGTCCAGGCACTGACCTGGCAGATGTTTTCCCATCTCTCTGATCTTTCCATGTCTCACTTTCTCTTCCTCAGCGTCACTTCTGTGTCTTCGCTCTCTCCAACCCTGATCAGGACTCCTTGTCCAGGATCTACAGCACCATCCTAGGGCAGCACCTGGCCAGTGGGAATTTCTCAGAGGCTGTGCAGAAATCAGCCCAGCAGCTCATTGCCCTGGCCCTGGGGCTGCATAGGAAGGTGGCTGCCACTTTCCTGCCAACAGCTGTCAAGTTCCACTACATCTTCAACCTCAGAGACTTTGCCAATATTTTCCAGGTAAGTGCAGCTCCTGTGCTGTGGCATTTGGATTTTGTCCTGATGTCACAGGCAGCTGAGGTCCCTCTGGCCCTTGGTGAGCCAAACACAGTGTCCCAGTCACTGGTGACACAGCGTGGGTGTCCCTGAGCTAAGGGCTGGCCTTGGGCCATTCCCTGACTGGTTTTGAATGGATTCCAGAGCCATCACCCATGACTATGGGGAAGATCAATCTAAGGCTCATTTACTTCCCAGCCTCCTGTGGCCAATGGGGAGGGATGCACAGTTCCAGAAGGAGGTGCAGGTTTTGAGGGGTTTGAAGTGTCCTCTGGCTGCAAAAAGGACAAACTGGGGAGAGCTCTGTGCTCCTGACCTCGGCCCTTCACGCAGTGGCTGTTGTGAGTGTGATGGAGCTGGGCTTGTCTTGGTGAGCCCCACCCCACTGGTGTGAGTGTGGGGGTCCGTGGCACCACCCCACCACCCAGGGAAGCCCTTCCTGCGTGGGGCAGCTGTGGATGCTCTGTGGGCTGCTGCTGGCCCTGAGAGAGGACAGCAGGGACTGGTTCAGCTGCTCTGCCAGAGCCAGGACAGCTTGGTGGCTGTACCAGCACGCCCTCTCAGGTGCTCAGCATTGCACATGCACATGTAAAGAGCTGATAAATCAATCCAAACCAGCTTTGATTCTACCACTGAAACTGAATTACCAACCACTGTGCCAAAGCGAAGTTGTTCAGCTTCAGAAATGTTGTCTTCCATCCTCGGTGAGATTTTGTTTTTCTGTTTTCTTCAGCAGTCTCATGCTTTGAAGCAGCAGGTGTTACTGCTCAGAGAGGCTTTCAGAGTTTCAAATTAATAAAATTTGATCAATTCCTCAGCAGCCAAAACGAGGGTCAGCACCTTAGCCTGTTCTAAACCCCCAGCTGGTAATTTGTCACTGTCCTTGTTAACGTGTTTCACAAAGGGGGTGTGTGGAAGTTCAGTGCCTTGTGCCTGCCCATCAGACAGGGCTGAAGGAGTGACAGTCAGGGAACCTGGGACCAGGACCTTGAACAAGTGAATAATTCCACTGTGTCAGGGAGGAGTCAGGCCTGTCGTTGTGCTCAGGTGAACATCAGCAGCAGGGATGGGAGATGTGGGTCATGTTAAACCCTGCCTTCCACTTAATCTGGGCTTGGGGAGGCACAGAGAGAACAGAAGCATTGCAGTGGGAGCCTTTAATTTGATCTGCTGAGTGTGCCAGCGTTGGGGGGTAACAGAAAACCTCCTGCCAGATCCCAGCTCTGGGCCAGAGGGAATGCTCCTCATTCTCCTTTCAAGGGATTCTCCATGCTCTTTTTCTGTTTGTTTCTTTTTAATGTTGGCCCCACCTCCATCCCAGATGCAGTGACCCACAGCTATGTGTCCCTCCTGCTTTTTGGGTGTGGGGGTCTTTAGATTCAGTCCCTTTAGAGGGATTGAGTTATTTTGAATTCTGTTTTAATCAGTTTGGCATCTGATGTGTTTCTGCTTCCTCTCTTTGAGTTGTCAGTTTTTCTCACCATTTTTTTCTTCTGGAATAAATAAAATAATTTGACAGCTGTAATGACAGATGTGAAACCCAAACAATCTGAGCCATGGACCAGTGAGCTGAGAGGGCCTACTTTACATTGCTTTCAATGCATTTAATATTTAATGTATAAATAATTAGATGTTAGGAATAAAAGCTGTCTATTTAATTCATACCATTGAAAACCCTGTGTGCTGTTAATAGGCTTAGTATAGGCGACACCTCTTTGAAATATAATTCTTTTATGCATTTTAATAGAGTTCATGGTAAACATACTGTGCTAAGCAGACAGCAACTGATATTTCCTGCAGGCAGAATGCACCTAATTAGAATTAATTGATTAAAAGAAAAAATAGCCACCAGTAACATTTCCAAACCATTTTTTTCCCTTCTTGACAAAGCACCCATGGCATGGGAATGGGATGGGAGAGCCACATGTCTGGGCTGGTGCCTGGCTCTGCAGGGTCCCACCTGCTGAGAGCAGGGGAGGCTGGTGGGGGATTCAAATGGATATAATGAGTGTAAACCTTCCAAAGAATGTGGGAAACAGCCATTGCCAGGGCTGGGGGCAGCAGGGTGAGGGAGGGAGGTGATTCTGCCCCTCTGTGCTGCTTGGTCAGACCTCACCTGAAGCACTTGTCCAGCTCGGGGGCCCCAGCACCAGGAAGGTGCAACAGAGGAAGGACCTGGAGCTGCTGGGGGGAGTCCAGAGGGGCACCAGGATGATCAGAGGGATGGAGCAACTCTGCTCTAAAGAAAGGCTGGGAGAATTGGGGTTGTTCAGCCTGAGGATTGCTCTGAAGTGACCTCCCTGTGGCCTTCAGTGCCTGAAGGGGCTCTGAGAGAGCTGGAGAGGGACCTGGGACAAGGGATGGAGTGACAGGACACAGGGAATGGCTTCCCACTGACAGAGAATAGAGTTAGATGGGATATTGGGCAGGAATTGCTCCCTGAGGGTGGGCAGGGCTGGCACAGGGTGCCCAGAGCAGCTGTGGCTGCCCCTGGATCCCTGGCAGTGCCCAAGGCCAGGTTGGACATTGGGGCTGGGAGCAGCCTGGGACAGTGGGAGGTGTCCCTGCCATGGCAGGGGGGGCACAGGGTGGGCTTTAAGTTCCCTTCCAACCCAAGCCCTTCTGGGTTGAGGAGCAGTTTTGGGAGTTTTGGATTAACAAAGGAGCCATTCCCTGTGGTGTTTGGGATGGGGTTGCTGTAAGGGTCCAGCCTGGCATTCCTGACCCTTTGCTCTCCACAGGGCCTTCTGTTCTCTACCCCTGAATGTCTGAAGCAGCCCCAGGACCTGGTGAAGCTCTACCTGCACGAGTCCAACCGGGTGTACCGGGATAGGATGGTGGAAGAAATGGATTGTGATACTTTTGATAAAATGCAGCGGGAGATGGTGAAGAAATGCTACAATGTAAGTGCTGAGGTCTGATGGGGTCCAATTGTCATGACAACAGAACAGAATGGTTTTATTGGAAGGGAAATCAGTACTGGGGGTTTTCCTTTCCCACTCTTTCTGTCCTGTGCCTCTTTCCCCTTTTCCAACATGCGGGTGCAGCTGTGTGGACACAAAAAGGCTGGAACACCATAGATCCCCTGGCAGAGGGCTCAGAGCTGCAGTGGCTTTTCCTGTATTTGTTCTATACTATTTCCTTCTGTTTTACAGGACATTGATGACACTTTAGAGCAGGCCAAACACATGAATATTTATTGCCATTTTGCCAAAGGCCTCGGGGAACCTGGCTATAGGCCAGTTCCAAGCTGGGAGGAGCTGAACCAGATCCTGGTGGAAGCCTTGGACAGCTACAACGAAGTCAATGCTGCCATGAACCTGGTGCTGTTTGAGGATGCCATGGGCCACGTGTAAGGGGCTTTTCTGCCTTTATGTCCCCATCATTTGTCTGTGCAGATGGTTTTGTGGAGTTTCCTGGAGGATGTAGGAATATGGATCCATGGGCTGAGGCAAATAATTTGTAGTTCTACAGGGCCAAGTGTGAGGTCCTGCCCTAGGGGCACAATGACCCCATGGAATGCTCCAGGCTGGGACACAGGGGATGGGAAGCTGCTTGGGAAAAGGCCCTGGGGGTGCTGGTGACAGTGACTGGACATGAGCCAGGTGTGCCCAGGTGGGCAAGAGGC